TTGAAAATCTTAGAAATACAAAAAAGTTCAAATTCCTAAAGATAAGAATACTAAAAATCTGATATTTTTCAGTGCATTCTTGTGAAATTCTTGTGTTTGCAGTTAATGCCGTCACTATAAATGTACCTTATGCCGAGCGAAATTACATGTTCCATTAAAAAATTAGAATGATGCATACATAGTTCAATGGACAACGATGTTGTGCAATGTCCAATGGACTATTTGACATTCTGAAGTGTCAGTTTGAAGTCGGTCCTATGGCGAGGCTCTCTGAAAGAGTGGAAATGAATGCAATATTTCACACGAATGGATAGATATCCTTACTGAAAGGAACTCTCCTCATTTAAGTTACAGTTAATCTTGTTTGTGTATTACCCGATGAATAGCATTGAACGTATTTGTATATTTGTATGCTTTCATTATGTTTATCATGCATCAGTAACGACTGCAATAGTAATGCTAAGAGTATTTCAGCAATAATGATTTTTGATAACCTGGTGATAATAAGTCTGCAAGTAGTACTTGCAGTGATAACGCTTGTAACAAATTCATTGATATTTTTTACGATATTAAGGAAAAGCAATCTTCGTGCATATTTATCTAATCTATTAATAATGCAACTTTCGGTCGGAGAATTTATGCTGGGTGAGTTCATTCATTATACGTGATCATATCGTATTATCCTCTGCACTACTCGAATGCATTTGCGTACTCTGATTCGTGACAATCAATCTGCTATATAATAAATCCACTCCTTATGAATGATCTCGTTTTATTTGCAAAAAATTACAATGATATTTGTGATACCATCTCGAACATAACTCATTATACTATATCTTCGATGATCACTGATAACCATTTGCTGCTTCCATATTACCATTCATATTATTACCATATTATTAACTTTTATTACATTATTAAAAAATAACATGTACTCATCTTTTATTCATTTGATAAGCAAATATAACCCATTACGAGATTTTGCCTTATTATTGGTAATACTAGCACAGTGCACCGTTTCTGTTTCCCTCCCTGTTATGATTATTTCAGGTATTATTGTCATCACAATCAGCGTTATGAATGACCACACTATTTGTTATAAATATTTTTAAAAAGTTTCAGGATTTGGCTATCTGTTGCAGTCAGTTGCTTTGCAGCTGATTAAACTGCAGAAGATCATTGCATTCAAAAGTTACCAATGTCTTCTTTTCGGCATGGCTATACCATTTTCTATACAGTTCAATGAAGTCACTCTCTTGATGATCGCCTGTGATCGTTTCGTATGTATTCAGTTCCCATTTTTCTACTTCAAAATTCAAACAGTTAGTGTTTATCTTCTAATTTCACATCCTTATTGGGACGGTCACTCATATTCAGTCACATTCATCACTCATAATCAAGTCATTCGTTCTTGTTTCTAAAGCAATTTCAGTTAACTAAATTGTTTGTGAAAATTTCCTCATCCAAAAGCCCACAATTAACGTTGAATGATGTTCGCTGATGTTATTTTTCATAGTTCATTCATTCAACAGCAGCGTTTGATGGTGGCATTTGAAGCCAGAACTGTGACATGAGCCAGAAAGGTGCTTCAAGTTGAGCTCACTTACATGCCGGCTTCATGAGCCTATCACTCACACTATTCGAACAATAATAAGGCTAAAATGACTAATTGGTACTGCATGACTGCTTTTGGTGGCAATACATCAAGTTGACCGGGAAAATTTGCAAGAGTGTTGCGCATTCGTCGACACTGATGTCATATTCCAAAATTCGTAGTTGTCAATTGTTGGTTTTCTTGGCTCTAGAATTTCCATGGAACGAGCTTATT